AGGCTGTAATGGTTGTATTGATGTATAGCAACTTGAAATGCTCCCAAAAATGGCTCCACAGCATGTAAACATATAATATAAGCTCTGGTGGACTTGGTTCTATGGTAGGTCTTAAAGGGTTAAGGAAACAGGATGAAGGTTAATGATTGAGCCTGTGTGGAACATCTGTGCTAACACTAAGGATGCAGCAGGTGCTGGGTACAGTAATACTGTCACATATTGTTACCTGAAACAGGTTTTGTGAAATGTGTTATGTCAGCGTCAGGTGTCTTGTAAGAGAAGTGTTTTTATCAGACACTGCTGTGGGGAAGAGGAGAGAAAGGCTGCAAACAAACCAGCTGTGTCCTAATTCAGACCTGCAGACATTCCTCTCCATCGTACTTCCTGTTATACCTCCACTTTCACTAAACGAGAGTTGGAGCTTAAGCATCCTTTGGATTATCCAGTGCCTGGCTAGCACTTAAGCCCCACCGCCCTCGTGATTTCAATTAAAAATGTGTGCCTTCAGCAAGGTTTTTGCTCCCACTCCATTTTTAAGCTTTAGATGAATTACTGTAAAGACGCTGATGGAAATGGCTCTAAACCCTCTCCTGTGCCCACTCTCCTTCCCTCTGCAGATGATCCAACTGACCAGCGTACTTGCCTTATCTGTGGAGATCGCGCCACAGGCCTGCACTATGGCATCATCTCCTGCGAGGGCTGCAAGGGCTTCTTCAAGCGCAGCATCTGCAACAAGCGCGTGTACCGCTGCAGCCGCGACAAAAACTGCGAGATGTCGCGCAAGCAGCGCAACCGCTGCCAGTACTGCCGCCTGCTTAAGTGCCTTCAGATGGGAATGAACCGTAAAGGTAACGTAGATGTTTCAAGCCACCAAAAACAGACGTTTGTTTGGTGATAAATGTCTGACATTTGTGGTAACAATGAAGCATCAATGACAAAAGAAGTAGACCAGAAAAGAGTCAGAGGTGCTGCAGTTGAAGACTGGCCTCTTAAATGAAATGAAACGTCTTCACAAACTTTCACCTTGTTTTTCTGCTTTTAGCAGTTTTTCAGTACACTGTCAGTCTGAAACCAACGGTAGGTGAACTGATCATCTTGTTACAGGGTAAACGGTTCTTAACGCTTTTCTACTCAAAGCAGTTTACACACTTTGCCTCATTCACACGAGTTTTTTCGATCCTCTGTTTCATCCATCAGAGCGTCTTGACCAACGATATATTTGGCATGCAGACTTTGGCGAGCACGCGGGGATCGAACCACCAAACTTCCAATCAGCAGGTGACCGGCTGCACTTCCTGAGCTGCAGGCAACCTTTGATTTAAGCATTCACGTGGACGTCACTGTGCCACCTAAACACTGTTGAAGACGCAGCACTTCCCCTGAATGTCCACAGCAAGCCTGAGTCAACGAGGCCACACGTTTAAACCATCCACTCCTAAAGGATGGACGATGCTGTTCCCTGACTCGAGCCCATCCCAACCATCATGGGGGAGTTTGGGATTGGCCGCATGAATGCTTACATTAAAGGTTTCCTGTCACCTATTAACTGGAAGTTTGGTAGTTTGATCCCACCGCTCTGTCGCAGCGCTGACAGA